CTGAGGGGGCGTGAGGGGTGGCCGGGGAGCCGCCAGCTTGGCGGCACAGCGGGCCTCAGCTGGACGTCAGCTGAGGCCGACTCGCACGCGCCTGCGATGCCAAAAGGTTTGTCCGCTGCCCGTGCCACCCAAACAGTGTTTCGCTCTCGGCCCTGGTGCGCGAGTGTGCGAAGATCGCCGCGCCACTTCCGGCGCGCACTGTTTGGAGTCTGTGAGTCGGTGGGCGGGTGCATAGGCACCGCGCTCGCCGTTTTCTGCCAGGCACTCTCTCACTTAAACCAGTGCGACCGCAACTCGGTACGGGATGACAGTAAACTTTAAGAAAGGCAATTCCGCCCTCCTTGTGCACCCTGGTGGAGTTGGGTCCAAGCCCATCAAGGCTCAGCTTTTTCCTACCACTGACCCGCTCCATGAAACCCAGTACGGGGACGACATCTACACTCACAGGAAGTATCTGCATCTTGGAACGATGGTGACCCAAAATGGCGGCCTTGCTCCTGATAGGAGTCTGTGGCCAAGCGCCTTAGCAAGAAGACGAAATCTAAGTATGCCGATTCACTTTGCACGTCTAGACTTCTGCACAACGGGCATGTCTGGGGTGAGCTGGCCAGTTCTGAGGAGAGCGCGATGATAGCCGCACACCTTGCCCCCTTTCGAAGTGTTCTCGGCATACGCCTTGGACGGCCCGACCAGCCTCATGTTTCCAACAAGCAGGTCATGCTCGACGTTGAAAGAAGCCCTGTTCCCATAATACTCAGACTCGTGCGCCTTAGATACATTGCCGGATTAATGACCTCGACTCCCACCCCACCAGCTTCGACAGGTTTTGGACATGGAGCTTAAAGCCAAAAAGTCTTGGGGGATACTATCCGGGAAGACCTCGCATGGCTCCAGACATTCTACGATTTTGAAGCTGACAGGACCCTCGCGGCGAGAGAGTTCCTGCTCAAGGCTGCGGAGGATCCGAACGGGTGGAAAAAGAGTGTTCGGCATGCCACCCAGGTGTGCAAGAAGTGGCACACCGACCAACTTTGACTGAGTTTGTGGCAGCACGACCTTAAAAGTATGCGAGGCTTCCGCCATACCGCCCCAAGACAATGTCTTGCCTGAGGAACCTGTCAAGAAGTATGTGTGTGAGGCTTGCGGTTGTTCTTGCTTTCAAGTTGGGTCCACGAAACGACACCTGACTAAAAGCCACAGTGACGTTGCTGGACGCCTGGCCCAAGGTTCGATATCACAGGTGTGATGTAAGGATTTCAGGAACAGGCCGAGACCCCTCAGACACCTGAGGCCAGCTGGCACTGGATGCCTTGAGACTCTTACGGGCTTGAAGTGGCCTATGTCCAATGATTGTTATGAGGCTCTTCGGGAGGATGACAGTAACCCTGCCGCGGCGCTCAAGGTTCGAGGATTTCGGGTGACAGAGGCCGAGGTTCCTGTCAGGGCCGTCCCTGGGGAAGAATACAGCTAGCCGCTGAGGGCGGTGGGTCTCTCTTTCCCTCCCCCCTCCGTTGCCCTCTTACAGCATAACAGTTTGCGTGTCACCAACTAGACATAGCAAGGCTTTTACAGGTAGCCCACGCAATCTTATACCCAGGGAGACCCGACATGCATTATGTTTGTTTAGCGGGCAGCGTAGGCCTGAAGATGTTCAGCACTGCTTTGATCTGTTTTCAGAAGATGGGCCTAGAGACTGGCCCAGTTGCCGTGCTGTCTACAGACATTATGAGCATACCCCGTGAACGGTGACCAAAGATCGACCGAAGCACGAGAAAAGCCTTCATGTTTGTATTTCCAAAGCCGTGCTCGAGGGGCTATACTTGGATCACCCTGCGAGACATGGCCGGCTGCTCGATACTTGGATGCCTCCGAATGCCCAACATCCAGGCCGCTCCGTTCCGTGAAGTACCTTTGGGGACGGCCGCTCGCCACCTCCATTGCGCCAGATCGTCATAGCGAACGATCTGTACCGAGCAGCTCTATATTTCATGCATTTGTGCCTTGCCATGCGGGCGAGTGGTGCGTTAGAACATCCAGCGTGCCCTTCAAACTGAGAGGCTCCGAGCTCGTGGAAACGAGACACCTCAGAGAACTTGGAACCCGCGGTTTTTGTGTCCAGAACGTCTTCATTGATCAACGCACGTTCGGCTCGCAATCGACGAAGCTAACAGAGCTTCTGACCATAAATTTGACCAGCCTCGCCCGTGAGATATCGCAGATGTCGCGAAGTGGCCGATGCTGCCATCCAGATGGACACAAGGTGCTCGAGGGAATGACGGGTGGTCGCTGGAACATTCAGCAGGCCAAGCAGTACCCTCGGGAATTGTGTGCGTTCCTAGCTGGGCAGTTTGCGTTGCAATGCAATCAGAAACGAGAAGGGGGAGGTGAGGTCTGCGGTGCTGACATGTCTGATGTGACCCTCCGGCCCCCCCATCGCCCCTGATCTAGAAAGGTATTTCTGTCCCCTGGACCCATACCTCGACGCACACATGACCGGGAAGTACGGCCAGGATTTCTGCGGCAGTTAAGCTCTCTTTTATCTTGGATGTGTATGCAGCCTGCGGCTCATCACCCATTTGGCCATGGAACATAACAGAACAGGAGGAGGAGGAGCGGGAGGAGGAGGAGGAGGAGGAGGCGAAGGAGAAATGGATGAGAAAGAGGCGGGGGAGCAGAAAGAGGACGAGGAGCAGGACCAGTGCGAACCCAAGACGCATCAGAGATGTTGCAATATACTTTCCCTCCGAGCTCATTCTTCGCGGGGTCACTACAAACAAATGATGTTCATTGTGGGGTACGGCCCGTTGAAAGGCAATCGGCTGAGAATCCTCAGCCGTGGCAAGAAACCATTCCTGGGAGGATTTCAACACCGCGAATCAACGTGACTGTCGCATCCTGACAATCCTAAACCGTGCCGGAAAACCACTGCTGCAAGCTTTGAAAACGAATGCGCGTGTCGCTAAGACAAAATCCACTTATTGCGTTGACACCGCCTCGATCCTTGAATCTGTCGCGGTCTGTTACAACGAATGTGCGCAGCGCTCAGGCGAGAGCCACATTCGGAAAAGCACACGCCCTCCATCCTTGAAGCTGGTACAACTGTTGAATGCGAATGTGCGCGGCGCTGAGGCGACGGCTACGTCTTGAGAATCGCCCGCCCTCCATCCTTGCAGCTCGTGCAGACGTGAGTGACGAATGGGCACGGCGCCAGGGCGAAAGCCACAGTTTGAGAACCACACGCCTTCCGATCATGAAACTGGTGCGTAATAAAACTTGTGGATCAACAAAAAAGAGGAAAACGAATCTACAGCGAAACGCCTGGCCCGCCCGACCGACACGTCTGCGGGTGAGAGATGGAGGAGTCACTCATCAGGAAAAGGACGGAGGAGGAGGAGCAGAGGAGGAGGGAGGAGAAGGGAGGAGAAGGGAGGAGAAGAGAGGAGAAGGAAGGGAAGTAGGGAGAAGGGACGGACGGCACATCCTAGGCGATGCGGGGATGAAAAGGAAATGGAAAAAGAGGATGAGGACAAGGAAGGGATGAGGGACTTCGTGTGGTCTGGGATGTCCTCTTGCAATACCAACGTAGCTGGGTCGGGCGACCACTGCTGAGCTCTGGGAAGAGATTGGTGTTGGACCTGGCTCGTGGAGGGCCGAGGCGCACAAGGTTAGCACGAGCGTTGGCTAGGTGTGGTACAAGCGTGGCGACGTAGAAGCGTACCCCAAAGAACTGACGCAATTATGATAGACGCTGTGAAGTGGATGGCTAGAACTTGCTGCAACGCGTGTACGGCCCAGCTTCACACAAACACACACAGACACACACACGGCAGGCGCTTGAAAAGCCGAAGTACAAAACAGTGAGTGCATGGAGAGTTGGAACAGCACGGATCGCTGGACCATCCCTGAGGAAGTTGACATGTGAATGGATATGGACAAAGCAGTCAGCATCAAAACAGAGCTGCGGGCAAGAATGAACACATTGTTGGAAGCACGTTGCGGGCCACCACTGGCGAATACCAGAATTTCGCCGCCGTCAAAGCTCAAAGACGAGTAAAGACGAGCCCAGGAGATGGGCAAATGGCCGCGGGGTCGGGCCCTTCCCTTTTTTGAGATCGCTGGCATCAGCGAGACATTTTCAATTTGCTAAACCTGATGTAAAATGGGGCTGGGGGGGAGCATTATTTCTCCTGGGATGGAACGGACCCCTCGATATACGTGGGAGATCTCAGAGAGGACCCGCTTGCACCTGGGAAACTCACCATGAGCGCCAAGGAGAGAGCGGAGGTTGGAGAGGAAATCAGGTGCTAGAGGGAGGGCCTCACTTGCTGAAAAAATCACAGCGTGCTCCATGGGTGATAACCGGTCCAAGATGACGAGCCACAGTTCATTCAGGGATTGCAGCCTGCCAAGGAGACAAGGAGACAGATCCGGACCACGAGCAGAAGATTGCATTCCTGCACCTTTCAGCAGAGGCGGGTGCTGTGCTCTTTCCTTGTGCTGCAGGCCCACCGTGGCGCACTGGATGCCGGACAGAACTCAAATATACGGGGAGGTGTGGAGGGGGCGATGGCGCATATGAGTTTTGCGGGGACTGCTGGGAGTGTAGCGTGCCCAGAATCTTCTCTGCCACGGCTCTGCATGCAAAAATTGATGAGCGACAAAGCGAGAACCAGTGTGTGTGTGTTGTGAGAGACTGAACTCTTCGGAACTCGAGGTGTGAGGGGATTATGGAGACCTTTGGATCTGCAGCCCCAGGACTAGTTGCCGATTCGCCTGCGTCCGCAAGTGCGCGTGCTGGAAAGGGCCCCTGATGTCACGACTTTCATGTACGTCAGGCCCTCCCCTACTAAGGATGTCGCTGCCTTCCGCTGTCCTTGATATCTGTTTTCTCTCGGATAGACCACGAGAACAACGGCCTTTAGCTCGACCAACTAACCGACCACATAGGGGGGAGAAAGAGGAGGGGGAGCAGGAGGAGGAGGACGAGGGGAGAAGGAGCGGAGAAGGATGGGGGAGGGGAAGAGAGAGGGGATGAGGAGGGGTGAAATGAGGAGGGGGAGAAAGCCACGCTGCCCCCAGGCCAGCCTCAACGCGACGCTGTGTCGAGGCACTGCTGCCACTGGTCGGGTCTCTTGAGAGGGTGGTACGCCGCCGCGGAACCAGATCCGCAGAAGGAGACGTCGCCGAGGTCGTAGTCGTCGGAATAGGTGTACTTGTCGTCCAGCACGGTGTCGTCGACCATGTACCTAAACAGAGTCAGAGAAAGAGAAAGAAAGAGAAAGAGAGACGGAGAGGCAGACAGAGAGAGAGAGAGGCAGAGAGGCAGAGAGGCTGAGAGGGAAAGAAGGGCAGAGAGAGGGTGATTGAGTGAAAGAGAAGCAAAGGGAGAGAGAGAGAGAGAGAGCGATGTCATCCACCACCACCACCATGCTCCCAGAAGCCCGTGCTAGGCCCAAAGATCGGTGGATGTGGCCCCTGGGCCTGGCCCAGAGCCGATGCCCAATTCCCGCTTCAACTTGGGCCTGAGAAGGCCCGTCGAAGGATCTCTTCCCCCTCCCGGGTGACCCGACACCGATCGCGTCCAGGCAGGACATCAGGTAGAAGTCCTCGCCCCCGTCGTGCCCCAGGTGCTCCGAGCAGCCTTCCACGTCCCGGGCGTAGTCGCCCACGGCCTGCCCAGACAGGACCTCCAGCGAGCCCATGAAGCCGAACTTGAAGCCGCAGTTCTTCAGGTAGAGGCTCGCACCGGCAGGCGCCCTCAAGCCTTCCAGGTGCTGCTTCAGCCGGTCGGGCAGGAAGACCGCATCGGGGTCGACCTTCACAGTCCAGTCGTGGTCCTTGTAGGCTGCGTCGCCGAGCACCTGCTTCCAGATCTTTATGAAAACGTCTGTGTTCGTGAACGACTTCCACTCCCCGACGCCGGTGTGTTCGGTCTCATAGACCGCGTGGGCGTCGCACGAGAAGATGTGTGCGCCTCGCTCCCTGGCCAAGCCCACGAGCTGCCCCTCCTCGGCATCCATCAATGCGCCCACGAAGCAGAACAGCGAAGATCCCGCCACCGCCTCGCCGGGGCCCGCGGGCGCCACCTCCCGCGCCTCCCTGGGCCCACCCAGCACCTCGCAGCTCCAGCCGCCGTCGCCGCTTTCGTCCGGCTCGCCGGCCACGCAGTCCTGCCGACAGCCAGAATCCGCCACCGTGCCCCTTCGCACGTTGACGCGCGCCTCTGGAAATCACTTGGCAGCACTGGGAGCCGGCGGTAAGCCGTCAACCTTGGTTACCGCTGGGAACTCGTAGAGCTTCCTCGTGCAATGTTGGCGCGGCAATCTCGCATTCCGCGCGCGCGAGGGCGCGGTCTTATGGAGGAGGACTGGAGGAGAAGAAGGAGTGAGGAGGAGATGGAGGAGGCTGAGGAAGAGGACGAGGAAAGAGGAGGAGGAGCAGAAGAAGGGACATGCCTCCTCTCCATTGGATCGTCTTCCACAGCTTTCTGGGCGGCGCCGCGCCTCAGGCGCTCTCCAAGGTGCCCCCAGTAGCTGCCACGGCGGCCCCGGCAGGCCACCAAGGCCGCCCAGGTGGCTCGACATGCCCGCAAGACAGCCAGCCCACCATGGCAACAAGGCGGCCCGAGAGGGCCTCCCGAGTGCCCACGAGGCCTTCTAGACGACCCAAGCTTGCTGCAAAACGTTATATATATGTGTGTGTGTGAAAACTCATATATCCATATATGAAAGAGAGAGATTGTCTTGTGAATGTGTATATATATACACTAGACCCATCGCGCGCGCTTCGCGCGCGCTCAACTTCTAGCTAGGCTTGATAGGCTAACTCAAGTGATATCATGTTGGTCGCTTCTTGCGTCCAGGGACTCCCTTGGAGGCCCTGCGCAAGCCTCGGAATCCTATAGAAGGGGAAGTGCGGAAACGCAGAAATCATTGATTCCCTTTAGATCTTCAACGATTTGGGGCCCTCAAAGCCTTCCTGGGCTCTTTTTTGGAAGGTGAGGGGGGTCAGAATTGTGGTCTATTGTGCAAGAGTAGACCAGGGGCCAAACTCGGGAAAAAAATGCGGGATTCCCATTTGTTTCCAGTTCCTCGGCGCTGTTCGGAGCTGTTTTTTGTTTGTGCCTCGCGGGTTTTGTTAGCCAGGCCCCTCACGGGTGTGGGATCTTCCGGACCCCCTGGGGGTTCTGGAGGCCTCCTGGAGCCTGGAGAGCTGTCGGAAAGGTGTCTCGGGCTGCGCGGGAGCGTGTTGGGCCGTTCCTTACGTTCTGGGGGGCTCCTTGGGGTCGTCTTGGGCTGTCCTGGGGCGTCTTGGGGGCCCCCCGGGAAGCCGGGAGGCGCGGTACCGGCCAGATGTCAGGGGATGTGTGGGATCTCCGAGTAGGAATCCACTTTGAGGGGGCAAAAAAAAGGGGTCGCGGTACCAGGCGCGTCTTCGGCAATTTTGAAGGTTTCTTGGCCCGTCTTGGACCCGTCCTGGGAGTCTTGTGGGCGGTCTTGGGGCGGACTTGGACCGTTGGAAGCTCGAAAACGCGAGAACGCCAAAAGCATCAAAAAAACAATCAAAATCGACGATGTTGGCCCCTTCGGGCTTTCCCAAGACGCCTCTCGGACCTCTCTTGGTGCCTTTTGGAAACCTCCTGGAAGCGTGGAGAGCCGTCCACAAGGTGTTTTGGACTGCTTGGGAGCGTCTTGGGTCGTTCTTTACGTTCTGGGAAATTCTTGGGGTCGTCATGGACTGTCCTTCGGCGTCTTGAGCTGTTCTTGGGGCCTCGTCGGGGTTTTTGGGGCCTGTCAGGGATCGGGGGTGTGTTGGGGGCCTCTGGGTGGTCCCGGTAGCCTCTCGGAGGTTTCTGGAAGCCTCCTGCTCCCGCTCTTGGGCCCATCTTGGGCCTGTTCTGGGGTGGTCTGGGGCTGTCCTGGGCGCCTCTTCGGCAGTCTTGGAGCCTTCTTGGCCCGTCTTGGAGCCGTCCTGAGGGTCTCTTGGGTGGTCTTGGAGCGGTCTTGGGAGCCTCTTCGGCGCTCTTGGACCGTTGGACCGTTGGAGGTTCGAAAACGCGAGAAGCCAATTACGCTACCGAGGAACCCCATATACTTATATGCTGGCTGGAGAGATGAGAGCTGAAGTGAAGCATGTGAGAATGATGTTGGTGGCCGTTGCCCCGCCGATACCGCTGTGCCCTTGACGACCGTCATGGATAGCGGCCGCGGTGAGAGACCACCCCCTGCGCACCCCCTTATGGTGTCGAGAATATGTCATGCCTGCTGTGCCCTGGACGACCGTCACGGATAGCGGCCGCGGTGAGAGACCACCCCCTGCGCACCCCCTATGGCGTCGAGAATATGCCATGCCTGCTGTGCCCTGGACGACCGTCACGGATAGCGGCCGCGGTGAGAGACCACCCCTTGCGCACCCCCTGCGGTGTCGAGAATATGCCATGCCTGCTGTGCCCTGGACGACTGTCACGGATAGCGGCCGCGGTGAGAGACCACCCCCGAGCACCCCCTTATGGTGTCGAGAATATGCCATGCCTGCTGTGCCCTGGACGACCGTCACGGATAGCGGCCGCGGTGAGAGACCACCCCCTGCGCACCCCCTATGGTGTCGAGAATATGCCATGCCTGCTGTGCCCTGGACGACCGTCACGGATAGCGGCCGCGGTGAGAGACCACCCCCTGCGCACCCCCTATGGTGTCGAGAATATGCCATGCCTGCTGTGCCCTGGACGACCGTCACGGATAGCGGCCGCGGTGAGAGACCACCCCCTGCGCACCCCCTATGGTGTCGAGAATATGCCATGCCTGCTGTGCCCTGGACGACCGTCACGGATAGCGGCCGCGGTGAGAGACCACCCCCGCACCCCCTATGGTGTCGAGAATGCCATGCCTGCTGTGCTGGACGACCGTCACGGATAGCGGCCGCGGTGAGAACCACCCCCTCGAGAATATGCCATGCCTGCTGTGCTGTCACGCGGCCGCGGTGTCGACCTGATGCATGGCGAGAATATGCCATGCCTGCTGTGCCCTGGACGACCGTCACGGATAGCGGCCGCGGTGAGAGACCACCCCCTGCGCACCCCCTATGGTGTCGAGAATATGCCATGCCTGCTGTGCCCTGGACGACCGTCACGGATAGCGGCCGCGGTGAGAGACCACCCCCTGCGCACCCCCTATGGTGTCGAGAATATGCCATGCCTGCTGTGCCCTGGACGACCGTCACGGATAGCGGCCGCGGTGAGAGACCACCCCCTGCGCACCCCCTATGGTGTCGAGAATATGCCATGCCTGCTGTGCCCGACCGTCACGGACGACCGTGCACGGATGGTGTCGAGCCATGCCTGCTGTGCCCTGGACGACCGTCACGGATAGCGGCCGCGGTGAGAGACCACCCCTTGCGCACCCCCTATGGTGTCGAGAATATGCCATGCCTGCTGTGCCCTGGACGACCGTCACGGATAGCGGCCGCGGTGAGAGACCACCCCCTGCGCACCCCCTATGGTGTCGAGAATATGCCATGCCTGCTGTGCCCTGGACGACCGTCACGGATAGCGGCCGCGGTGAGAGACCACCCCTTGCGCACCCCCTACGCTGTCGAGAATATGCCATGCCTGCTGTGCCCTGGACGACCGTCACGGATAGCGGCCGCGGTGAGAGACCACCCCCTGCGCACCCCCTATGGTGTCGAGAATATGCCATGCCTGCTGTGCCTGGGCGACCGTCACGGATAGCGGCCGCGGTGAGAGACCACCCCCTGCGCACCCCCTATGGTGTCGAGAATATGCCATGCCTGCTGTGCCCTGGACGACTGTCACGGATAGCGGCCGCGGTGAGAGACCACCCTTTGCGCACCCCTATGGTGTCGAGAATATGCCATGCCTGCTGTGCCCTGGACGACCGTCACGGATAGCGGCCGCGGTGAGAGACCAGCCCCATACGCACCCCCTACGCTGTTGTGCATGTGCTGTGGTGTGGTGTGCTGTGCTGTGCTGTGCTGTGCTGTGCTGCGCTGTGCTGTGCTGTGCTGTGCTGCGCTGTGTGAGAAGGAGAGAGAGGGGAGGAGGAGACGCGGGTGCGCCGCGGCAGGGAAGAAAACCAGAACCCCACGAAACACGTGGGGAAAAACATTGAAAATTAGCCTGGCGAAAGACCCAACCATACGCAGTTGTGACTACCGCAATTGTGAATAACATGTTCGCCCGCGCTCCCGATGTGGCCACAACTTCCCGCCGGAGCCCGACATGCTCAGGGACACGTTCGTGGCCGTCTTCGCGGGCGCCGACGACGACGAGGACGGCGCCCCCCTGACCGAGGAGCAGAAGCAGGAGAAGGCTCTAAGAGCCATGAGGGAGGCTGCCACTGGGGCCTTCGCTGGAGCTCCTATGGGGCCACGATCCTCGTGAGGGGTGTGCCGAAATGGCCCGAAGCCGCCATGCGAACGCAGCCACTGGAGCCTTCGGTGGAGCTCCTATGGGGCCACGATCCTCGTGAGAGGTGTGCCGAAATGGCCCGAGCCGCCATGCGAACCCTGCCACTGGCGCCTCCGGGGGAGCTCCGTATGGGGCCACGGTCTTCGTGAGGGGTGTGCCGAAATGCCCCGAGGCCGCCATACGAACCCTGCCACTGGCGCCTTCGGTGGAGGCCACGATCCTCGTGAGGGGTGTGCCGAAATGGCCCGAGGCCGCCATGCGAACGCTGCCAATTGGGCCTTCGGTGAAGCTCCCTATGGGGCCACGTTCCTCGTGAGGGGTGTGCCGAAATGGCCCGAGGCCACCATGCGAACGCAGCCACTGGAGCCTTCGGTGGAGCTCCCTATGGGGCCACGAAGTGCTGTACTCGGTGTGCCGAAATGGCCCGAGGCCACCATGCGAACGCAGCCACTGGAGCCTTCGGTGGAGCTCCCTATGGGGCCACGATCCTCGTGAGGGGTGTGCCGAAATGGCCCGAGGGCGCCATGCGAACGCTGCGACTGGCGCCTTCGGTGGAGCTCCCTATGGGGCCACGATCCTCGTGAGGGGTGTGCCGAAATGGCCCGAGGCCACCATGCGAACGCAGCCACTGGAGCCTTCCGTGGAGCTCCCTATGGGGCCACGATCCTCGTGAGGGGTGTGCCGAAATGGCCCGAGGCCACCATGCGAACGCAGCCACTGGAGCCTTCGGTGGAGCTCCCTATGGGGCCACGAAAAGCCGTACTGGGTGTGCCGA